TCTACTGTTCATGTTCATCCTACTCAACCGCAGGAGACCCGACCAGGTCTGCTTCATCAGACACGCCAACATCCAAAACTACAGAAACACCTTCAAGTAGAAATGATGAGCTCCAAATGACCAATAAAGTGTTTGTTAGTTTGGGACTGGTCCTGGTTCTGAAGGCCCGACTCATGGAGCTACAGCGACTCATCCTTCATGGTCCAATAAGAACAGCTGTAGTCAGCATCAGACTTTAAACACCAGTGCGTGTGTGTGTGTGTGTGTGTGTGCGTGTGCGTGTGTGTGTGTGTGCGTGCGTGTGTGTGTGTGCGTGTGTGTGTGTGTGCGTGTGTGTGTGTGTGTGTGTGTGGTCAGGGGATGATAATCACCACCAGGATGTGAATGAGGGATGTGTTGTAAAGCGCCTTGGGGGGTTCATGGACTCTAGCAGGCACTAGATCAAGTACAGGCCATGATGATGATGATGATGATGATGATGAAGAAGAAGAAGCAGTTTCTAGGTTTGTAAATGTTTCCCGGCCAGCACTGAAGCTGAGCTGCTGGCGGAGGGACCAGAACCAGAACCGGAACCGGTACTCACCGATACTCCTGAAACTCTCGGACAAAGTTCTCCTCAACTTTTTCATCCTGCCCATTTTCTCCGCGGAGGCCGAGGCCGGCATCGGGCTGATTCTGAGCGGAACCACGGTTGGTGCGTCCAGCTGCCGGTAATCACGGGAAACGGAGCCTCACATCGGACTCGCGTTCGTTCTTCTCTGGAGAACAGAACCGGACGGAGTCTGCGCAGGACGAGCTGCTGGGTCCGATCCAGATCTCAGAGCGCTCGGTGTCCCGGTCCCTCCGAGCTGCACCGCGACGTTCATGTCCTTTCTGTTTTCTGGTGGGGGTGCCCCCCCTCCTCTCTCTCTCTCTCTCCGGTTTGGACCCCCTGACCCGCCCTGGATGCGGGGATTGGAGGAGTCCCGCCCAGATCCGAGGATTGGTTCGTCCCGGAGGCTGTCCGTCAGAGAACCGGTACCGCCCTGCAATGTGTTGCAGGAGCTGAAGGTTTCGGGGTTGTTGCCCTTGGCTGAAGCGGGTCAGAACCCGAACCCATCAGAACCTCTCTGTACCAGAGCCGATAGAACATGGACATCCCATAATAGCAGCAGAAGAGCGGTGTCCGCAACAGCAGAGGCAACAGTGGTACCGAATGCGCGCGCGCACACACACGCACGCACACACACACACACACACACACGTGATGTTCTCACATGAAGGTGAAGAGCAGCCACACATCAGGAGCATGGACGAGCTCCTGCACTGATCCAGACCCTGAAAGGAACATGAGCAGCACCAGCAGACCCTCTGTGGATAACCTGACCACCAGGAAGCAGCTCTAGGTTGTACAAACGGAACAGGCAGCAGGTGAGACATCCCCATCCGCGCGTGTGCAGGTGGTGACCACAGCTCCTCTGCTTTCTGGCTGATGTTTGGGTCTCTGTTGAAAGCTGCTGGTGCTTTCACTTTAGTGCACAGATGTTAGATCAAATAGAAAACTGCCCGTTTTGCCTCAAAGACTACAAATCCCACAGCGCTCCAGGACTCTAGAAGGTGCAAATACACCAAGCTGCTAGACTCAGCGTCTGCAGCGAGACCCTCCTCAGTCTCAAACTGAAAACACTCCTCTGAGCATCGGGTGTACTCAGCTCAGCGGTCCGTCCGCGGCTGACACCAAAAGCCCGCCGACCAGCCTCCAGATGGAGCTGAGTGGGCTCCAGCTCAAGTCACTGCTGCAGTTTCTATCCCTCCTCTCTAACCCAACCCAACACAGAACCCACCCCACAGGTGCAGGTGTGTGGCCGGAACAGGTGAGCAGAGTGGAGCAAACCCAGCTTGAATTATTTTCTTTGCACTTTATCTGCTCCAAAGGATGAAAGTTCATAGATGAGATATTTTCATATAAGAGAACTGCGAGTTTAGATTTGTGTTGTAGTGTTAGGGTCAGGTGGGTCAGGGTCAGGTGGGTCAGGGTCAGGTGGGTCAGGGTCAGGTGGGTCAGGGTCAGGTGGGTCAGGGTTAGGTGGGTTAGGGTCAGGTGGGTCAGGGTTAGGTGGGTTAGGGGTTAGTTGTTGGCCTGTAACCTGCTAGAGTAGATGGGACGTGGAAAGGCTGCAGACAGAACAGAATAGAAATGCTTTATTGTCCCTCAGTGGGGAGACTTGTGCACAGCAGTAATAACATTCATTACTGGAGCAGAAAAGGAGATAAAAACAAAAACAAAGAGTAAACAACAACAAAACAGAAAAACTTCAAAGATTCATAAGGTTCAAAGTAAAAAATGATGAATAAATTCTTCAATTTACGTCATCAAAGAATAAAGAAAACTGGTAACAACTTGCTCGTGTGTCGTTCCAGATTCAGTGTTGAAAATAAGTTTGTTTCCTAAACAAAAGGCTCAACAAACGGATCTGTAGATGAAGGAAAAGGTGCACCTTCGCCGTCACTTTTCAATGAATACTGACTTTGTCTGGCGACTCCGTCCCAGTTTGTCGTTTGGGCCCAGTGTGAGCGCGACTCCCTGCTGGGTCTACAGCCCACACGAGGGGCTCAGGTAGGGCAGCTCATCCAGGATGGCACATCATCAGCTGTGGCAAGGAGGCTTGCTGTGTCTGCCAGCGTAAGGTCCAGAGCATGGAGACGCCCGACCAGCACATCAGCAGACATGGAGGAGGCCGTAGGAGGGCAAGAAGCCAGTAGCAGGACCACTACCTCTGCCTTGGTGCCAGGAGCAGCAGGAGGAGCACGGCCAGAGCCCTGCAACATGCCTCCAGCGGGCCATAGATGCACGTGTCTGCTCAGTCAGAAAGACTCCATGGGGGTGGGGCTTTCACCACGTCCTGCTGCCTGCAACATCCTCCAGCAGGCCACTTTGGGGCAGTAATGGTGGGCGTGGCCACACAGCCCTCCATGTGCTAGCCAGGATAGCCTGACTGTCATCAGGCGCCGAGGGGAGACCCTCAGACCCCTTGTGAGACTGGCGCTGGGTTCCTCCTAATGCAGAATGCTAGACCTCATGTGGCTGGAGTGTGTCAGCAGCTCCTGAGATGAAGGCATTGATGCTATGGACCGGCCCTCCCCCCAGACCTGAATCCACATCTGGGACATCATGTCTCGCTCCATCCACCAGCGCCACGCCGCTCCACAGACTGTCCCGGAGGTGGTGGATGCTTTAGTCCAGGTCTGGGAGGAGATCCCTCAGGAGACCATCCATCAGAATGCCCAGGTGTTGTAGGGAGGTCGTACAGGCCCACGGAGGCCACACCCACCACAGCTGGATCAGCCTGTGGCATTTTTCCACTTTGAGTGTGACTCCAAATCCAGACCTCCGTGGGTTTCTGCTGTCAGCACATTCAACTGTGTAAAGTATTTAATGAGACCGTTTCATTGGTTCAGATCTAGCAGGTCTTTGATCTACAGGAACAAGGCCCTCATGCAGCTGCCAGGAAGACAAAGCTGAGCTGCGAGCCACCAGCAGGGGGCAGCGAGGAGCTCCAGGAGACTCCCGCCAGGTACACGGTTCTCCAGGACAACCACCCTGCATGTTGTACAGGTGTCTCTGCTCCAGCACACCTGGTTTCCACCAGCAGCTGATAAACAGGCGTCTGCAGAGCTCCATGACTCAGGTGTGTTGGAGCAGGAAAACCACTAAAACATCAGCATCTGCTCCAGTTATAAAAGGTCATAAATAATCTGAACTCTTTAAAGACGGTTGTCCTCGTAGAACTTCATCTTATCTACTAAAGTTTAACATCTTATTGATTTTGCTGTTAATGTAGAATAATCTGGTCTCTAGTCCAGGTCTGACGTCTGGAGCTGGGCCAGATAAAAAATCTGAAATGTCTTTTTACTGCAACAAATCAAATAAACGCGTCAGCATCTGTGTTTTAGACTACTGGTGTCACCTAGTCCAGCTTCGAAGCCTCGTCGTCTCAGAGCTGAGATGTTCTAACGTGGTCCAGAAAGGTGCTGGAGGTTTACAACAGTCATGATGATGAGCTACAGTGTAGCCACAGCCGCCCGCGGGCGCACGTACAGAGGCAAGGCTGTCGAGCACGGTCACCATCAGCAGGCAAGGTTGTGGTAGGTCTTGCTCAAGGACACAACAGCAGAATTCCCTGCCAGGAGTGAGGATGGATCCCACAACTCCCTCTCCCTCCTGAGCCTCGGGTTAGAAACCCTAACCCCGCCCCTGCAGCACAACTTACGTAGTGTAAACATGATTAGAGCAGGTAAAGACGCTCCGTGGGATTATTCTTCAGAACCAACTTCAGACTCATCTGCTGCGTCGTTCTGTAATAATTTCATCTTTTGATCTTGATTAGGAGAAACAAGGAAAGACGTCATCGCATCAGGAAGCGGTCCGAGCGGACCCGCCAGCAGGGATGACCCCAGCAGATGTTTTAGCTGCAGGAGGAAGTGCTGATGTGTACACAGCAGATGTTTGACCCACGGACGCTGCAGCTGTGTGTGTGTGTGAGACTGTAAAGAGCATGCACGTTTTTACCGCTGGGGCGCTGCGGACGGGTGGGGAAACGCGTTTCAGCAACGGAACCGCAACACCGGTAGCAGGGGGGGGGGGGGGGGGGGGGGGCAGACACAGCCAGAAACCTGGAGGACCGGACTGGTAGGAACGTTTTTGAGCTACATTACGGGAAAAGTGGGCGTTTGACCTCCTCGTTAGGGCGCGACGCTCGTGGTAACACTAGCACGCAGCTCGGCCCGACAGGTGGAACGAACCCCGGTGAAGGGAGGGCTAAGTACCGTAAATGTTAAATATCGCATCTATGGTCAGACAAACTACACAGCCAGTACACGAGGGGCCCTAACCCTCATCAGAAGGTTGTAGGTTCAAGCCCAAGTCAGTCCGTCACAGTCGTTGTGTCCTTGGGCAAGACACTAACTAAAAGGTAGAAATGTAGTGGTCCGATATGAAAACACAACACATTTGGTACCAGTTGGTGGAGAAACATGTTTTATGACTAATTCCTAAAGGTGTTCATGAACAGGTGCAAACGTGACAGAATCTAAAAGAGAAAAGTAGAAACGGGTCAGAAATCAACAGAAAGGTTAAAAACCCATCCACCATTGAATACTGAGATCTCCACAGCAAACAGGAGGTCAGACATGTCCAGCTCAGCCGGTGGGCTCATTGGGTCAGGTGTGCATCACCGAGGATGCTTCATCTGGACTGGTGAAGGCAGTTAAAAGGGAACAGCAGCAACTCCAGATGGTCCCGCTGCTTCACTCGTTCTCAAACTTGCTGTACGGGTGGTCGGCGTCCCCCATCAGACCTAACGGGGACAGAACAGAGACGGTGTGACGTAGATCTGTCAGGATCTTCTATCCTAGAGTGTCACTGTCTGAAGCTACTGCTAAACACCTTCCTGTCCACATCACCCCACCATGAAGCTTCCATGTTGTGTTTTTGATCAGAGAGCGAGACCTGATTGGCGTCTGATTCAAGCAGAGGAAGGAATGTTAGGTGGAAGGTTTCTGACCTCGTAGGCATAAATCCTGGTTTTCCTACACAGGGTCCTGCTCACCGTGATGACGTTTCAACCAACAGAACCCCAACCCTACAACTGAATATAAACCCAGGTTTCTACTCACCGTACTTCTTGCGTATTTCATCGTGCCGTGCCTTTCTATCCACCTTCCTGTAAAACACAAGTCCAGAGGTGAGAAAACCTGCCTGTTGGTGGCATTAAGGAACCCAGCGGCGGTCACCGTGGAAACCCAGCGGCGGTCACCGTGGGAACTAGGGATGGGTACCTTTGACATTTGAATCGATCCGGTACTAATTCCCGGTACCTACGAATCGATACCGGTACTTAACGGTACCAATTTGATACTTTTGAGTGTTTAACATTTTAATTCTCTTTTATAATTAAATATATTTTTTTCTCAATATATAACCATATTTGATAAATATCACGATAAATAACATACAACTGTTTGTATTTTAACATCGTCCTTGTAGTTTTATAAGCTGATAATTAAACTGAAGCAAACATCTTTACTGTGAACTAAATTTACTGTGTATCTTCATTCCTTTTGCCGTCTTTTTTCTTTGATTTTTCCTACTGGGAAGTTAGAATTTCCGAGGAGAAAGCGAACGCACCATTAGCTGATAACAATGGTGGCAATGGAAGCTAACATACCAAGCTAACGTTATCTTAAACAGTTTATTTAGCTGCTGGAGCAGATTAAAACGATGATGCCTCAAACTTAGATCGTTGTCGCTGGTTTCATCTTCACCCAATCACCCGTCGCATTTAGTAAAGTGAAGCCAAACTTTAGAGCGCGTTCATGTTCTTCTAGTCGGAAATTCGGAGTTCCGAGGAGAAAGCGAACGCACCATTAGCGAAACGGAAGCTAACATATCAAGCTAACGTTATCTTAAACATTTTATTTACCTACCGGAGCAGATTAAGATGAGGATGTCTCACTTAGATCGTTGTCACTGGTTTCATCATCACCCAGTTACCCATCACATTTAGTGAAGTGGACCCAAGCGTTAGCGTGCGTTCTTTCTACCATGCTGCTCTGTTTACAACTCGCTCACAGGGACCAACGACATAACGCTCTTGCGCATGCGCAGCTTTCTAGGCAAGTTCTCGTTATGAAGGACGGGTACCGAAACGAGGCACCGTTTCAAATGACGTGAATCGGTGCTCGTCGGTACTATGGAATTCGGTCGGTACCTTAAAAAGTACCGAATTCGGCGGTTCCCATCAAAAGAAAACAGTTGAATGACACATAGGAAAGTTAGCATACGCCGTAATAAACATCTGAAGGAATGATGCTGCTGGTCACAACATTCCTAGGACGAAATCCATTCCAACCACGAACCCTAACCCATTATATGACCCGTGTTGTAATTGGCTCTCAGCTAACAGATCAACTGGAACTGGTCTAGAATCCGTTACCATGGTGACAGACTCAGGGATTCCTGGGCCCTCATTCATCAGCCACACTTACACACAGATTTGTGGGTATTTTGTGCACAGGTACAATTTTACACATGGTGTGGTGTTTATCATCTAGTACTTGTGTAGACTTGTTCCTACACACCAGAACCCTGACCATGCGTAGGAACAGCCTGAAGGCCGCAGTCATCCACTAAGTACATGACCCAGTCGGTAACGGTACCTGCTGCTAGCACCTAGAAAGACCCCCGAGAGCCACTGGCCCCTGACATGGTAGCCTGGCTGCTCTGCTGTTGTTGGAGGATCTGGCAGAGCGGGCTCTCTGAGTGCTCTGATCTGATTGGTGAGAATCCACAGTGGCTCCTAAGATGCTGCGTCCTGAAGGAGAACCTTCTACAGCTATGCTGGGATGTGGGGCCCTTTGTGGAGCCACAGATAGTACCAGTCTGGTTCCAGTCCAGATTCAGTTACTGATGACTTTAGAATGTTGTCATGTGCACTTTTCTCATCCACGTTCACGTGAACATTGTAGATTTCATTGGTAGGATGAATACAGGACAGTTTCTACCAGCGTTTGATAAATGAGGACCCTGGACTCTTCCCGACATCTCCTCTGAGATCTTACCGTTGCTCCGCGCGCTGTAGGATCTCCTCTCTCTTCCTGTTGAATCTCTCCTCGTCTCTGTCAGGCCTTCACATAAAACAGAACATGAGCATCACTACCGTTCATACATCATCCACCTGATCACAGCACCAGGGTCAAAGCACCTTGGAAGAAGCTGTTCTCTGCAGAAGGACCTCCATCAAACTGCAGGCTTTCCCCCAGCGCTTTAAAGCTTGGTCACCTGCCAGGCTAAGCCCCACCCCTACCTTCTCTGATGTCACGGGCGACGCACGGCAGCAAAACAAACCTTGTGCCCCTCCTCCGCTGATACGGACAAGGGATGGTAGCTGAAGGATACGTGTGCACCGAACTCACCACAGAGTCCAGACCTTAACCCCAGTGAGTCTTTGGGATGAGCTGGAGAAGGCTTTGTGCGGCGGTGAGACTCCGCCACCATCAGAGCAACATCTTGGTGAAGCATTAACTTGTGTGTTGTTATCAAAGCTAAAGGTGACCAGCGAGGTATTAGAGCACATATGTCAGAGTCAAGGCCCGCGGGCCAGATGCGGCCCACGGAGCATTTTTATGTGGCCCGCGAGATAAATATCAAAAATATATTAAAACTGGCCCGCTGGCCGATTTTACCGCAAAGACTACAACTCCCATGATGCTTTGCGGCGCCAGCGCGGAGCAGACGCGCCCCCTCCTTTGTGTTTTTTCAGCGCCGAGGCAGTCAGGGGTAGTTGGGTGTCTGCAGCTCCGCTGTCTCGGACAAACTACACTCCTCTCACTCAGCGCCGAGCTCACTCAGCTGTTTTCTGACGTTGAAGCCCAGAAACGGAGATTCTAGCCGCTCAGTAATGTGTTCACGACTGAAAGAGAAAGTTTTCCAGCTAACGTCCAGACAGAGCTGATGTAACTCCAGCGAGCAGCGACACGCTCAAACCAGCACGACTCTGTGGTTGTGTTTCCTCCCCGACACACAACAACGTGCTCAAGCTGCTCAGACATGTTCATCAGCACAAACCTATGTGAGCACCTGTTGTCATCTAATGTTGTCATTATTATGATGAAGATGAACAAAACAACAGGAGTCTCCTCCTCAGCTCAGATCAACCCCATGATGCAGGTATCTGGCTGGAACAGGTGAGCATCACAGTAAACCAGTGGAGCAAACTGAGCTTTAAATATGTTGGTTTGATGCTCTTTTTCTGCTCCAAAACATGAAAGTTAACAGGTGAGATGTTGCATTTTCATTTAAGAGAAAATGATATTTTTATGTTGTTGTTGGCCCGTGAGAAAAGATTTAACCTACAGTAAACAGGAAGTGGAAAGGCTGCAGATAGATGAATAGAATAGAAAATCCCTTTATTGTTCCTCAGTGGGGAAAGCTAGACGTCACAGCAGCGATGACACGTATTACAGGAGAAAAAAGGAGAATAATAAATGAGAAAAATGAATAAACAAGAAAACATAAATCCTGAATAGATTTTAAAAATGCTGATTATACCACAAGTAATGAATACCACTGATGGCTGTTATTTAAAACTGACTTGCTCGTGTGTCATTTGGTTATTCCACATTCAGTGTTAATGCAGAAATAAGTTTGTTTCCAAATTTAAAGGTTCAAAATTGCATTTATGTTGATAAAGAAAATGTGCAAATTTGCCGTCACTTTTTCAAAAAATATTAAGTTTGGCCCTCGACTCCGTCCCAGAGTTTCATTTCAGCCCCGTGTGAGTTTGAGTTTGACACCCCTGTATTAAAGTGTGGGAGCTTCTCTGGTGGTTTGTTACGGTTTTATAGCTACGACAAAAAATCAACGTTTGACGTGGTTAAAACATCCGAGCGTGTCTCCGTGGTGATTTATAAACAGAGCTGAATGATTTCAGGATGTTGTTCGTCCATCACAGAGCTGAAGGAAACAAGTTCAACAAGACTGATGAGTCAGGGCTGATATTTTTATTACAGCAGCACCGAGTCTCACACACATATAAACACACGCACGCACACACACACACACACACACACACACACACACACACACGCACACACGCACGCGCACACACACACACACACACGCACGCACACACACACACACATATACACATGCACTCACTCACACACACACACACACGCACGCACGCACGCACACACACACACACATATACACATGCACTCACTCACACACACACACACGCACGCACGCGCACACACACACACACACACACACACACACACACACACACACACACACACACACGCACACACACACACGCACGCACACACACACACACACTCACACACACACACACACACGCACGCACGCACGCACACACACACACACACACACACACACATATACACATGCACTCACTCACACACGCACGCACGCACACACACACACACATATCCGCACGCACACACACACACACACACACACACTTCTAAGTAAAAGGATGACTGAAACACTCATGACACGTGGCTCCCTGCACCATCCACACATGGAAAGCACACAGGACCTTACCGTGACGAGGGGCTCTTGCAGCAGCAGCAGCAGCAGCAGATCATGATGGTGAGGAGGACGGTTCCCCCCAGGACAGCCAGGACAATGATCAGGGCTTCAAAGTTCACTGGATCAAAGCAAGAAGAGACACCATTCAAATCCACGTTCCTGTGAGGAGCAACAGATTTAAGGTGGTATGATTCCCTGAAGGTTTACCAAAGCCAACATATTAGGCAGCAGCGCCTCCCGGTGTTCAGTCTGACACCCTGCACCTTCTAACGTTTCTAGTGAAACATCAGGTTCAAAGGAGCCTGAACTCCTCCAGGCAGTCTGGGATTACCCACATGAGTGTAATCAGATTACTGTGCTTCTACAAGGACACAGTTTCAGGGTTGGTTAAAAATTTGCCGTCAGGTCAAAAGGAGGTAAACACAGCTTTAATGTGTCTAATCACACCCTGCTGAGCCTGCGACGCGTTACCCTAATGTCTCTGCTCCAGCCAGACGTACGGAAAAGTCTGTTTTTACGGTACCTGCCCAGGTCACCGGGACCCTCAGGCTCCACCAACAGTTCTGGTTCAACCTCATCAGAGCGAAGCAGCTTTTCAACCGAGCAAAAGAGGAAGCAGGCTAGCTCTACACCCCCGCTCACGGTGAAACCGAACCCTGAGAGGGGAACAGAAAGCTTCAATCCGACTCCCCTCCCACACGGTCCTAAAACATCTGGCGGGGACTTGAGAGGCGCTTCATGACTGCTGCTGCTACGGGATGTTGAGATTTAACCGTTTTCAGCTGAAATCAATGTCAACGTTAAGTAAAGCCCTTTAGCCACCAGAGCTGCACCTGAGCCCGGTCCAGCATCAGAAGGTTGACAAACCCAAGTGACACCAAAGTCCCGACGGAGACTCAGGAGCATCTAGTGAGAGGCTCTGATCTGATGCTGTTTAATAGGGCTGGATGTGGATCCGGGAAAGGGGAGGAGCCTGAGGGTCCAGGATGATAACAGCGGCTATAAAAGAAGGAAATATGTTAATGTCTACCACAGAGCTTTCTGCTTTAGTGTCTGTACTTCACTGCTGCCACGATTAGTCGATTCGTCACGATGACGTTGACTATAAATGCAACAGTCAACTCTTTTGAGCCTTTTATTATCTCGCCTGCTGCGGCACCGTCGGCGGCTGCTTTCTGCTTGAGGCACACGCACAGTAGTGGCCATCCAGGTCAGCCTTTGTATCAGAATCACCGGAGAAAGAAGGCGACATGGCGAGTCGACAACGTAGCTCGAAAGTTTGAGAGCATTTTACAAAGACAAAAGAGAAGAACGTAGAGTTCAAAATCTGCAAAGTGAAACTCTCCTTTCACGGGAGCACATGAGCGATGCGCGAGCACCTTAAGGGGAAGGACGTCATGGCGGAGAGCGAAGAGACGCCTCTGTAAGCTTATGTTAGCTGTCAGCATCAGCAGTTACAACAGTAGTGATGGTGCTTGCCTTCAGAACCTGTGTGTGTGTCACATTCTTGTTCTGATGTTAGAAACGCTAATGATCCCGCTGCGTTAATGTGTTTAAAACGCGCTCCTCCTCTTCAACGGACGAGTTCGTTACAAAACCAAAACTGACTGTTTTAGCAGGATGCATTAGTGCGCACAAGTCATACCTATGTTTGTAAACTACCAATACTACACGGTCAAAGGTCATTAAAGGCTGCTAGATAAGCCATCATCTCGTCTTTGTTATTAGACAAAGCACAGCTGATCACACTCCAAACCAGTGAAGGGCATCTTAGAGCATCCGAGTGCAACAAGCCCTACTGTAGCTAGGGCCGTCTAACGTGCTGCCGTCACCTCTGACATCATCCAACTAATCTGACTGAAATCAGGAGAATGATGGATGGACTCACGCCAGCACACCCCCCAGCGGGCCTGGGACAAGGGGCACAGCGAGGCCGGGGGCAGCAGCCAGCTCACCGGGTACTCGGTGCAGTTGTTGGAGGAGAAGCACCACAGACACTGGGCAGACACAACACCCGTTAGGGTCAGTCACATTCAGGTTGAGTTTTATAGAAACAGATCCTGTTATTGTCTGGGTCAAAGGTCAGGCTGCAGCTTACCTTGGCGTGTGGGGTGCAGCTGTCGCAGCTTTTATAGGTGGAACAGGCTGAAAAACAAGCAGGAGAAACATGAAGCTCAGCTAGCTAACCTCGCTGTTAGCCGCTGCTGCCATTTAAAACACAAGTCAGCGTTAAACAAACTCAAGTCCAGCTGGGAAAAGAAGCTTAACGGCACTTTAAAACGGTCAAACTTACGCGTTGTGAGTGGCGGGCTGGTCGTTTGGCACTGCCCCTGTGAGGCTAAGCTAACAAACAGCAACGCGACAGCACAAAACACCGGACTGGTGGCAGTTTGTCTCCGGGTTGCTAACGAAGACATGATGAAAGGCACCGGAGAACGACTGGTCTGGGCTCTGTAGAAAAACTCAGAAGGTCCAGCGGTGGAGGTCTGGACCACCACAGCTTCAGCCGTTTCTGTTTCTGTTTACCTTCTAGCCTCACTTCCTGAGTCTGCGGGGTTAGCTTGTGTACTTATCTTACAGCCCGCGCGGGAGGAGTCAATGCTTTATTTTGATGTGACACGTGACCACCGCATTTATACTTCATAGAAAGCGAGATTTTCCCCAAACCCTTGTGAGATTCTGTAACGAAAGTAGCCTGGAACCCCTCCCAGTCACCATGGTAACACATGCTGGAGGAGACAAGCCCCCACAATGCGGCTCTAAAAATGGTCCCAACCCGGAAGTAAGAAAAATTGCAGTTCCACCCTCATCCACTAGGGGCTGGTGCCAGAAGCGAGCAAATCCTCATTGACTCCCATGTTAAAAATGCCATTTTCACAGCAGAAATAAACATGTTTACACCCTGGTACCAAAACATGTTTTTTGTCTAAATGATCTAGTTTACACTCATGACAACTCTGAGGGGGGGGGGGGGGGGGGGGGGGGTGAATGTTTTTCTCACTCTTCTGTTTATCTGGTAAACATCGGCGCGATCTTCCAGCTTCTTGTCCTTTGTTTGGTGACCTGAGCGCCACTGACGCATTCCCACCAGGCCGCGTTGGGACGCGGTTCATCCGTCCAAGTTTTTTAAGGTCGGTTTATCCTCATTCCTCAGTGGTTTCTCCTCCTGTTCCCTCCATAAGTGGTTTTTATAAACACCGTGGATCTAACCCTGCTAATTTACATCCACTAACTCCAGCTGTTTCTGTAGTTTCTGATTCCTCCACCTCTCTAAGCATGGTTCTATTAAATACCCGCTCTGTTAACAATAAGTCCTTCCTGCTCAATGATCTAATTCTCTCTAAAAACCTGGATTTTCTGTTTCTGGCTGAAGTTTGGCAGCAAACATCTGATTATTCTGCTCTGATTGAACTCTGCCCGAGTGGTTATTCTTTTCTTAGCCAGCCCCGGGGTTCTGGTCGTGGTGGAGGCCTAGCTGTTGTTTTCAGAGACCATCTTCCATGTAGCTCTACAACCTCTGGTCCCTTTGCTTCCTTTGAACTGCAGCTGATTAAAGTCGGGCGTAAGGACCCGTTCTACTGTGCTGTGGTCTATCGTCCACCTGGTCCAAACAGTTCTTTCCTTCAGGAGTTTAGTGACTTTCTATCCTCCACTGTGAAGCTGTGCAGACTGGTGATTGTTGGTGACTTTAACATCCACGTTGATGATCCCTCCGATCTCTTTGCCATGAATTTCTCCAGCCTCATGGACTCCTTCAGCTTTACCCAGCATGTTTCTGGCCCCACACACACCAGGGGGCACACTCTAGACCTTGTTTTTATCCTGAGTCTAAATGCTGACAGTGTTTGTCCTGAGGACATTTATATTTCAGATCACCATTGCATTTTCTTTAACTTGTCAGTTTCTGCATCCCCACCTGCTCGCCGTATGGTTAGTTCTCGTTTTCTTAATGAGAGCACAGCTAGCAATTTTTCTGCTGCTTTTGATCCACCCTGTTCTTCTGATAACGACCCAGATTCCTTAACTTCTCAGTTTAATGAGCACTGCCTCTCCATTCTGGACAACATGTGTCCTGTCAGAACCAGATCAGGTCCTGCAGTGAACCCTACTCCCTGGTTTAATGACAGCCTTCGCAGCCTGAAACGCCAATGCAGAAAAAATGAGTGTTTGTGGAAGAAAACCCATCTCCACGTCCATCTGCTGCACCTAAAGGATCTTCTGTCATCCTTTAACTCTGCAGTCAGAGACGCCAGGGTTTCCTATTTCTCCAACCTGGTGTCCCAGAGCAAAGGGAACCCCAAGGTGCTGTTTAACACCATCAGCAGCATCGTCTCTCCTGCCTCTCCTACAGCCTCCATCCACTCTGTTGCAGACTGTGAGAACTTTCTGTCTTTCTTTGTGGACAAAGTCAATAAGGTTAGATCTAGCATCTCTCCTTCAGCCTTATCGCCGCCTCTCCCGACTCCAACCAGGCCCATCATCCTAGATAGCTTTGCTCCTGTTTCTTTGCCTGAGTTAACCAAACTAGTTAACTCTATGAAGACCTCTGCATGCCCCCTCCACATCTTACCCTCATCTTTGTTTAAAAGTGCTTTTCAGTCCATCGGTCCCAGCGTGCTCTCTATAATTAATGCTTCTCTGGTCTCTGGTCAGGTCCCTGCTTACTTTAAGAACGCTGTAATCCACCCGCTTCTTAAAAAACCGAGTCTCGACCCCTCTCTCCATAGCAGCTTCAGACCCATCTCTAAACTTCCGTTCATCTCCAAGATCTTGGAAAAGGTTGTGGCTAAACAACTCACAGCTGCTGTTGATGAACATAACATCTATGATAGCTTCCAGTCAGGTTTTCGTAGAGCTCATTCTACTGAAACAGCTCTTCTTAGGGTCTCTAATGACCTTCTGACTCACATTGATGCAGGGGACGGTTCTGTTCTGGTCCTGCTGGACCTGACTGCAGCCTTTGACACTGATGACCATCACCTGCTACTGGAGAGGCTGAGAGACTGGGTAGGCCTATCAGGATCTGCTCTGGAGTGGTTCTCCTCTTATCTCTCTGAGCGCTCCTTTTCTGTGGCCGTCTCCAAGTTTAGGTCCTCCACCACCTCTCTTACCCATGGTGTCCCACAAGGTTCTGTGCTGGGGCCTCTGCTCTTCCTCCTCTATCTGCTTCCTCTTCAGCACATCCTGAGATCCTTCAAAGGAATCTCCTACCATCTTTATGCAGATGACATCCAACTGTACATCTCCTTTAAGCCCCATGAGATGTCTAAGCTGCAGCTGTTACACACCTGCTTAGACTCTATCAAAACCTGGATGGTGGGAGCTTTCTTCAGCTGAATGAAGATAAGACTGAGATCCTCATCTGTGCCCCAGACAAGCTGGTTCCCAAAGTCAGAGACTCTCTTGGTCAGCTTGCTTCTCACACCAAACCTTCCGTCAGGAATCTTGGCGTGACCTTTGACCCAGCTCTCACCCTGGATTCTCATGTCAGTTCTCTTGTTGGCTCTTCCTTCTTCCATCTCAGGAACGTTGCTAAGCTGAGTCCCATTCTGTCCCGCTCTGAACTTGAGACAGTTCTCCACACCTTCATCTCCTCACGCTTAGACTACTGTAACTCTCTTTTCACGTGTCTGAGCAGAACCTCCCTGAACCGTCTACAGGTGGTTCAGAACGCCTGTGATCGGCTTCTGACCAAGTCCTCCAAACACACCCACATCACCCCGCTTCTCCTCCAGCTTCACTGGCTGCCAGTCAACTTCAGGGTTCATTTCTAGATCCTGGTTCTGGTCTATAGGGCCTTACATGGACAAGCACCATCTTACATTGGTGATCTTCTTAGTCCCTACACCCCCAGCAGGTCCCTGAGGTCCAGTGATCAAAGCCTACTGGTTGTGCAGCACCAGGCTAAAGGTCAAAGGTGACAGATCATCTGCTGCTGTGGCCCCCAGACTCTGGACCTCTCTCCCCCTGAGCCTGAGATCAGTGGACTCAGTGGTCTCCTTTAAAAAGCAGCTGAAGACTCACTTGTTCAAGCTGGCTTTTGTATGACCTTCTTCACCTCTCTCTCTTTCTTAACATTTTAATCACAATTGTCTATTTTTGCTCATTTTAAATATATTTTTAAACATTTTCGAAATGCTTTTTTATATTTTTACAATTTTTATATTTTTTGTTTTTGTTTTTGTGAAGCGCCTCGTGATTTTTATCTTGAGAGGCGCTATAGAAATGATATCTTCTTCTTCTTCAATCTGAAGGAAGAGGGGGAAGGTCGGGACACAGCATCTGTCAGCATTCCTCCTTTCGTGGGGGTGTGTTGAAGCAGCCTTGAGAGGCAGCCTTGGCGTCAGATAAGGATAAACATGACTTTGTTTGGGGCAGGCAGAGATAATTTTCCTCTCTGCCTTGGAGTCTATAAGTGGTCTTTCATGTCCACCAGTGAAGCCAATTTTACGTTCACAACATCCCCACATCGTCCGGCGACCCTCTCTGAAATGACATCCATCTTGCGCACTAACACAGGCAACGCTGCAAGGACATTATCCAGCTTACGGTTCACCTCGAGTAACGTCCCAGTCTGTGAGGTCACCGCACGGGCGGCACATTCCGTGGGCGCGGGTCGCACTCCAATCGCTCCCGTCTTCCCAAATTTCCAGAAAACCAGATATCCTCCCACTCCAATCAGAAGAAATCCAGTGATCATCAGGCCGAACATCCACAAATCTTCCACGTCCTCGATGGACAGCTGAGAGAGGCACACAATTCGCCAGACCTCCCAAGAATCGAGTGCATATCCCGATGCGAATGTCCCCTCGGGACAGGTGGGAGCCCCCTTCTCCGTTCTCATTGTAGAAAAAATTTTATCAATCGCGTTGAATGACCAGTTAATTAGGTCCATTTCCAAAAAAAAGAAGTAGTGATTTCAGGAGAGATGCAGAGAGGCGCTCTGTAGGCAGACAGAGACAGAGAGCCTTGGGGGAGCAGATGAGGGAGCTGAGAAAAAAAAGCGTCTGTACTCTCTGAGGGCTGGAGAAGAAAAGATGATTAGCTTAAAGCGGACCGAGTGTAGAAGAGAAGGAAGTGGGGTACCCTCTCCCTCCTTGACTGATGACCAGAAGAAAGAAATGAGGTAATGCCGGAAGGACACCAAGCAAGAGATGCTGGGCCGGCAGAGTGTTTCATGAAGCGGGAGTTGTCGTGGAGACGAAGAGGAGACCAGAAGGAGGGGGAAGTGAAGGAATAAAAAGGGGGGCCCAGGAGAAGTTGGGGGTTCTGAGTTGTGAGTTCTGGGAGAGTTCTGTACGAGTTCAGTGGAGCTCGGTGTTTGTTGACCCGCTGCGTCGGGGTGATTCTGTTTGGATTAATCTTTTTTCATCCTATAAAATAAAAACCTTGGTTTCTTACTGTAAGAAACTTAAAAGGATTTTTGGTGCCTGGGGTTGGTGTCGTGTAACCGAAAAGGTGAGATGCTGGTTACTTGTTATCCCACTCCAAGAGGTTTAGGCCAGTCATTTTAGAGTTTTTAACCTGAGCAATGCATGAGCTGCAGGTGACTAAAAGATGTGTTTGGGTTTGAACCGAGTCTTCCTTTTACCTGCAAGCAGTGTGTTTGCCGGGATCAAAGTCTAGGTTAA